GCCAAAATTGCTCGTGGCAGGTGCCAGTGCATACACGAGGCATTACGATTACCCAAGGATGCGGGCGATTGCTGACAAGCACAAGGCAGTCTTGCTGGCAGATATGGCTCATATTTCTGGTCTGGTGGCCGCAGGTCTGGTACCCAGTCCATTTGAATATGCTGATGTGGTGACCACGACCACCCATAAATCTCTGAGAGGTCCTCGTGGAGCCATGATTTTCTACAGAAAGGGAGAGACGGGAAAGACTGACAAGAAGACTGGCAAGCCAGTCATGTATGATTTGGAAGGACCAATCAACTTCTCAGTCTTCCCGGGATTACAGGGTGGGCCACACAACCATACCATCTCAGGTTTGGCATGTGCATTGAAGCAGGCACAGGGCAAGGAATTTGTGGAATACCAAACCCAGGTGCTGAGAAACTCGGAGGCATTGGCAAAGGGTCTTGCAGAGCGCGATTTCTCCCTTGTGTCCGGAGGCACAGAAAATCACATTGTCCTGACAGATTTGAGGCCTAAACAGGTGGATGGATCTAGAGTTGAAAGAGTTTTGGAATTGGCACACATTGCTGCCAACAAGAACACCGTCCCAGGAGATGTCTCTGCCATGGTCCCAGGAGGACTCAGAATGGGATCCCCAGCTCTTACCTCGAGAGGCTTTGTGGAAGCTGATTTTGAGCAAGTGGCAGAATTCGTTGACAGGGCAGTGGGAATAGCAGCTTCAATCAAGAAGGAAACCGGACCAAAGTTGAAAGACTTTAGGGAATACCTGGCAGAGAACGAAGACAGTAGAATCACAGAGCTCCGAGAGCAAGTGGAAGACTTTGCCAAGCAATTCCCAACTGTTGGGTTCGAGAAAGCTTCAATGCGCTACAAAGAATGAGTGGCAATCACCTGAGGTGACCTATTCTCTTGTTGTTGTTATGTTTCACACAAATGTAAAATGAATTCTCATCTTTTATTTTGTGGGCAGCATTTTTACATCATACAACCACATCAAAAATAGTTTATGGTACCTATGACATGATATAAATCAAACTTTTGTCAGAAATGCTGGGTATTGTGACAATGTCCAGCACCGCTGACTGCTTACTTTGACACTGAGACTAAATGTAGCATTTATTCCCATTTGGCAGCAAGCACCTCAGCAAGGTCGACGACTCTCTGAGAGTAACCCCACTCGTTGTCGTACCATGCAACAACCTTGACCATATCATCTCCCATCACCATGGTGAGGGCAGAGTCAATGGTGGAGGAGACATCAGTCATGCGGTAATCGCAGGACACCAGTGGCTCGTCAGACACGGCCAAGATTCCGTTCATCTTACCGTTGGCAGCGGTTCTGAAGGCCTCATTGACTTCCTCAGCGAAAGTCTTCTTCTCCACCTGCACGACCAAGTCCACGACGGACACGGTTGGTGTTGGGACACGGAGAGCAACTCCGTTCAGCTTTCCCTTGAGCTCAGGCAATACAAGAGCCACGGCCTTGGCAGCACCAGTGGTTGTTGGCACAATGTTCATGGCAGCGGCACGAGCACGTCTCAAATCGCGGTGAGAGGCATCCAACAATCTCTGGTCTCCAGTGTAAGAGTGTGTTGTGGTCATTGTTCCCTTGACAATGCCAAACTTCTCATCCAACACCTTGACGAATGGTGCCAAACAGTTGGTGGTGCAAGAGGCATTGGAGACAATGTTATCGGAGTGGCTGTAGTTCTCCTCGTTGACTCCAACAACGTAGGTTGGGATTCCGTCACCCTTTGCTGGGGCAGTGATCAACACCTTCTTGGCTCCGGCCTCCAAGTGCTTGGAGGCTCCCTTCTCGTCAATGAAGACTCCTGTTCCCTCGATCACAATATCGATATCCATGGCTCCCCATGGCAACTGTGTTGGGTCACGGTTGGACACAACCTTGATCTCCTTACCGTTGATGGTGAAGCTGTCATCTCCAGTGATCTTCACATCAGCACCGAATGTTCCCATGGTGGAATCGTACTTGAGCAAGTGAGAAGCCTGCTTCACTCCTCCAGAGTCGTTCACAACCACGACCTCGAGGTTAGAGCTATCACGGCCCTCCCAGCAACGCAAGAATTGACGGCCAATTCTTCCGAATCCATTAATGGCAACACGGCACTTCTTTGCGCAGGTGGTCACCTGACGGGAAGCTCCAGTAGAAGCAGATCTCTGCACGCATGAACAGTAGACAGCATATTAGAATTACTGCAAGAGATCAATACACTACAACAAACAGAAAAATGCCACATGCCCAGAACGGGCCTCGGGATCGCCATCCACAGCTGAGGGTCTACAACGTCAGGAAGCGATCTGGGCGACACGCTTCGTCAATCAACCCTCCAACATCCTACGGACAGACGCCAGACCAGACGATTCAGCCCTGACCACCCGATTCCCCCCGCCGATCCATCTAATAGCACCGATTTAATGATAGATACTATGTGGCAATACCATTCCTATCCAAATCGGCAATCGGCGAGTGGCTTTGTGGCTGGAGCACCCAGGGCACCGGCTTTCGACAACAACTTACACGTGGGGCACCCACACGCATTCCACCAACGCGAGTGGCAACAGATGTCATGAGAATAGCCATTTTACTTTGTAGACTTGATTGAGGTAGCAAAGTAAGCGGAATTTGATAATGCTCCAGGAGTTTGATGAAGGAACTCCCTTATCCGATAAGATGGGACGAACTATTTCGATACAACATGGCTCTATTTGTTATCTGTCCATCACACGGTGCCTTTGATGGGGAGAGATGGACAAGGCACCTTCATCCTTTCCAGCCGAGTCATTGATGGGACTGCTTCGAAAAGGAATGGTTTCCTGCAGTCATGTGGAGGTCGATACTCTCCACCCAGTGCACACATCTTCTAATCTATTAGGAAATAAAGCGACATATTCTCGCACATAGATTGAATTGCCGCACCACTCTAGGCGTGTGTACATTTGAACGTAACTCGTTGACGGCTGCTGCGACTGAGGGACAATGCCTTTGGCTGCTGTGACAAAGAATAGCGCATAGTACGTTGCTTTGTGGTGTACATGGATGTAGCAGAGATATAGATCATTAATTGTGTATGCTTGCCTCGTATGTGCAGCTTCTCCAGGTACCAGGTGAAGTATCGCCGTCGCCGAGAGGGAAAGACGGACTACAGAGCCCGTCTTCGCTTGTGTCGCCAAGATAAGAACAAATACAACACCCCAAAATATCGTATGATTGTGAGATTCACCAACAGGGATATTGTATGCCAGATCGCCTATGCCACTCTGTCAGGCGACGTCATCGTCAGTGCGGCGTACTCACACGAGTTGCCACGCTATGGCCTGAAAGCTGGACTCACAAACTACTCTGCTGCGTACTGCACTGGTCTTTTGTTGGCTAGACGCACATTGCAGAAGTTTGGGTTGGACAAGGCGTATGAAGGTAACACTGAGGTTGATGACCTGGGAGAGGATTACACGGTGGAGGCGAACGAAGAGGGGCCAAGGCCATTCTACTGTATTCTTGATACAGGATTGAAGAGAACGAGTACAGGAAGCAAAGTCTTTGCTGCATTGAAGGGAGCTCTGGATGGTGGTCTTGACATCCCCCACAATGAGAAGAGGTTTGCTGGATATGAGCCAGACGAGAAGGAGTTTGATGCGGAAATCATGCACAAATACATTTTTGGAGGACATGTAGCAGAGTACATGGAGGAAATGATTGAAGAGGATCCGGAGAAATACCAGTCTCACTTTGCTGAGTACTTGAAGAATGGCATTGAGCCAGATAACTTGGAAGAGATGTACGAGTCTGTCCACGAGGCCATTAGAGCAGATCCATCTCCAGCTCAGAAGAAGGAGAAGTCCCAACCAACAAGTGGCACCAAGCAATGGAAAGCAAGGAAGCTCACCTACGACCAGAGGAAAGAGAACCTCAAGGCCAAGCTTGCTGCTCTCATGGGATAAGATGATATTGCTCTGCGTGAGTGATTGGGTTTATATATATACATATCATGTAAGAGTTTCATACATAGTCTGGTTCTTTCTTGGTTTATCAAAAAAAAACCATCCTCATGCATTTTCATAAAGTTACAATGGTAAAAAAACAAAATTGATGACCTGAATGTTGCCATGTGCATGTCAGATCTGGTCACCCAGCAGATCGTCATATTCAATTCCACAAGGCTAGCATGTACGCTCAGTTCATCAACTCATCGATGCAATTTGTCTAGAATACTTTCAAGATTCTTTATGAGGATTGGAATGTGCACATGTGAACCGTCAGTTGTAGACGGCCCCTTTGCAGAGAAGGCTATCCTCTCGCCATTCAGTGATACATGGATTTGGTCCTCTGGGCTCATCTCTTCCTCGTATTCTTCCCCTTCGACAAGCACTTGAGGAAAACGCTCCTCAATACAATCTGCCATCTCAATGAAATCGTCAACACGTGCCCGATCATACCTTACCAACACAGTCGGTGGAGGAGGCCGATCGAGCATGGATTTTCATGCAAAATGCCGCCCTTGCTTTGCAAACATGCTGTCTATAGGCGACACTCTACTCACTAAAGGTGCTCTTGAGATGCCCTCGGTCGATACTATGCGCAGAGTTGGTGCAGGAAGGTGTCGTGAAATACTACCACACAAGGTTCTAAAACTGTGGCCGCGACATCCAAATGCGCCATCATTCGGCAGCTCTCGAGACGTGATATGATTTTTAATACCAATATTCGATGCAGAAGAGGGTGTTGTCCCTTCAATGCCGGGGAGGTGAGAGAAAGCACGCAAGCTTGCGTTCCTCAAGACGGTCTCCTCAAGTGGCCACTGCTGAACCGACCGAACCAAAAGGCTCCGGTATCGATTCATTACCGGTATTATTTTATGACGACGCACTGTACAGCTTTGGGCCACAACCAAGACATCAAAAAGAGTTCTGCGGCCACGATTACGAAGAAAACGGGACGTCGGGGATTCTTGAATAAAAATGTATAAAAATTCTGTTGGTATCCCGCATGGGGTTCGAACCCACGACCTTCGCTTGTATCCACCGCCACACGAGGTACTTGCGGTCCGGAGAGCGACGCTCTTCCACTGAGCTAGCGGGACTTGCGAGCGGTGTCCAGTCCCCAGACATGCTGGTACGGACACGCACAAAAATCACTCGATATTGCAATATTTCAACGAATAGGATGCTCAGACTTATGCGCCCTGCTCAAAACGACGGGTTTTGAAGCCATTTAGCACTTGTAAGGGTATGTAAATAGATGCATAGAAGGATTCCTGTCACCTGCCATCCATAGAACTCATGAAATCCTGGTGCATATCTGTGAGGATGTTTTCACAGGACAGAGACCCAGCAGCAGAGTAGTAGTAGCAGTAGTACAAACAAATACAAGTATATATTATATCACACAAGAAGAAGAATCAACTACTGTTTCTGCTCATTGCCTTTCAAGAAGGAGATGAGTGACTCAATCTCACTTTGCGAGAAGTTGGACACTAATTGGACCAAATCCTCAGAAGGCTTGCCAACGGGAATCTGCACAGGTGGGCTGATTTCAACGCCACTCTTCGACTGCTGGTTCAGCAACGTTTCCAATATTTGCCTTTGCTCGCTGTTCAATGAACTTGAAGCCGAGGTGAACGAGAGGTCCAGAATATCTGATGAATTCCCATTCCCCATCATCATCCTCTTGGAGTTGGAGGATGAGAATCCTCCTGGAGGCAATAAATTTTGCGATGCAGACTGCAACAAACTGTAAAAGTCTCCCATCGCCATTTGCTGTGATGGGGTTCCAGTCATCCGTGGAGCTCCCAGCGGCCAACTCGATAGGTATTGCCGCATCACATCAGAAGCCTCGAGAATGTCCTTGGGAAATATAGAATGACTGGTATTCACACCAGTTGATTTGGTATTGTCCAGGGACGAGTGTGACATCTGACCTGCTTTGAAAAGATTATGATACCGCGAGTCTTTGGGCAACAATGGGTCAATGTGCCTCCTCAGCATGTCTGCTGGCCCTGCAGAGAGATCATCCGTGCTCCTCTGATCAAATGGCGTGGGAAGCGAGCTTCCACCATCTAACGTGGGTACACCTGCACCTACATGTGTTTGGTCACGAGTTTGCATTGCAGGTTCACGTCGCTGCCTCACAGAAGACCTCTCTGATGAACTCGCCTCAATCATCGTGTGCGTCCGTGTACCCCGCTTCACCCCCACAAGAGTCACTGGAGCCGCATCATGAACCAGACTAGGGTGCTTCCTGCACAATGCACTCCATCTATTCTTCGCTGCATTATCAGTCCGATCCCCAAATCTTCTACTAATCTCTGTCCATTTATTCCCCAGCTCCTTGTGGTACCGTATAAGCTTCTGGTCCTCCTCCTCAGACCACGTCGTCGTCTTTGCATTGATCGTCAACGCATTCTTCCACCTCCGCCGACACTGCTTCCCCGTTTTCGTCTCCATTTCTCTCGCAATGTCAGCCCACTTATTCTCCCCAATCCTCCTCACAAGCCCCCTGAGTTTCTCATCTTCTTCCCGTGTCCAAACCAACGTGGGCATTTGATACACCTCGCTTGCTCTCACACACGTATATAAATCTGCACATACAGTGCACAATATTGTATCGAATATGCCCAGTCGTCTCGTTGATTCCCAACCCCCCTACCCACGTGAAACAGAAACAAACCACCCTCGGCATCCCCATGCCATCTGTCTGTAACCCACCTTGAAAGTTTTTAATAAATCAATGCTCCTAAATATCACGCAAGGGTAATAAAGGCCTGTTTCAATCGGAAATGGAATGAAACTTTCGCACTGGTTTCATGAAGTCGACAGTGCCCAGAGATCTCCTTTCTTTGTACATCTATAATCAAAATAATGTATATAAAATGCATCAACCCAGGCAATGCATTGTTGTATTTGGTAGAACAAGGCCAAGATCTCAGAAGAGTCTGGGTACATCACCAGGATGGCTGTGAGTATTTGTAAGAGACGAGCATGACCTATTTTTGTGATACTATTCATGTATCTGTCTTCTTGTCTCTAACGAAGCAGCAGCAGCAGCAGAAGGAAGAAGAAGAACCAGAACAAGATGTCTTCTGCTGACACGGAAGCAGTTGATGACCAAAAAGTGTCTCAGTTTTGTGCAGTGACTGGAGCAGATGTGTCAAAGGCTTTACAGGTACTACAAGCGACAGATTTTAATCTGCAAGATGCTATAGAGCTATTCTTTGCGAGTGGAGAAGGGCAGGGTGGGGTTTCACCTGTGTTGAGGGAGGAGGAACGAGCGACGCAGTTACAAACGCATGGCGGGGAGGAGGTTCGAGCACCCATGCCAACCAAGGTTGATCGGTTGTATGGGGATGCTTATGGGACGGAGGTGGGTGGGTCTGGGCGTGAGGGTACGTCGGGTGCTTCCATTGTGGATGCATTCAGAAAGAGACTGGAGGAGCCTGGGAGCTCGCATGGCGATGGCAGGCTGTCTTCGATGTTTGAGCCTCCGAGAGGGATTCTATGTACTGGTGGGTTTGAGCAGGCGAAACAAGAGGCGCAGAGGAGGAATCGGTGGTTGGTGGTGAACATTCAGTCTCCATCCAACTTTGATAGTCATCGGCTAAATAGGGATACGTGGAGGGATGGAACCATACAGGCATTGGTGGAAGCGTATTTTATACTTTTTCAGACGTATGATATCGCGGAGCAAGGGCAAGAGTTGATGGCGTATTATGATGTAGAAGAGTTGCCTGTGATTTTGGTTGTTGACCCAGTGACTGGGGCTCCCATGAGGAGGTGGTATCGGTTTATAGAGGCCGTTGATCTTGCTGAGAATTTTATACCTTTTACGGAAATTTCGTTTGATGATCCTCGGGCAGCTCGCTTGGCAGCCTCGTCTATGAGGAAGAGGCATGGTGGGGTGAGTGTTTTAGAATCTGGAGGGCAGGAGGAATCATTTCCTTCCATGACAGAGATGGACGAAGATGAAGAATGTCCCGAGGAAAAGGCCCAGGAGGCAATGGAGTCCCTACCACCTGAGGAATCAGGGAGTGGAACATGTAGGATTGGTATGTTGTATTTGTCTTGTGGACTATACATGTTGTGCAATCAAACCCATGTTACTGCTCGCAGGTATCCGTCTGCCAGATGGCATGAGGATTCAAAGGCGATTTCCAACGAACATGCCTGTGTCTGTTCTGAAAACATGGTGTATATCTGAGAATCTGGATGCTGCAGCAGGGAAACCTTTTGTCCTCGTGCGAGCAGAACCAGGCTCGTTGCCACTCGACGATTGGTCGAGGTCCATCGATGAAAGCGGTGTTGCAAACTGCATGCTACAGATGAGATGGCACGAGTAACCTTGACGAGGGACACCAAGTGCATCATGCACAGCGTATTCGCATGCAACATGCAGGTCCCATCAAATAGACATGTTGATGGGATGAGAGCGTCGTGCATGTGCGCGTCGAGGACGTCGTAACAATGCACGAATCCTGCAATTTATACTTGCGAAAGGCTCAGCAACAGCATTAAAAATTCATATTAATCGGTACATATAGTACGGAGATCGATTGACCTTGTAAGGGTCGTATTATTCTTGTCCTTTTACCAACGAATCAAACGATGGCGCCCCGAGCTCCAGCCAAAAAGGTGCGAGATAGCGTGTACACCTCCTCCGTAGGTATTTCTGATGTCTATTGGGGTATTCTAGTAGTCTGATTTTGGTTGTGTCGGTTTCTGTTGTCGTTTGTCTTGGGTGTGAGCATACCAGTGATCCGAGACGGAGCATAACAACCGCGCAACGGGTTTCCAAGGGTATTCCCATTTGTCTGATTTGACAAGCCTAGACGCTCGCATATACGTGTTTATATTCAAATATTGTTCAAGCATGGCATTCAATCGGTGCAGGGCGCAACAGTAGCCACGAAGAAGAAGGCACCAGCTGCAAGGAAAGCAGTCACCAAAAAGACTGCTGCTGCTGCGAAGAAAAAGGCTCCGGCGACAAAGAAGAAGGCTCCAGCAAAGAAGACTGCTGCTGCTACTGGAGTGAAAAAGACTACGGCGACAAAGAAAAAGGCCCCAGCAAAGAAGACTGCTACTACCGCTGTCAAGAAAACACCAGTGAAGAAGGCCGCTGTCAGTGCCAAGAAGACTGCCGCAGCAACAAAGAAGAAGACACCAGCAAAGAAAACGACTGCCGCTGTCAAGAAGACAACAGCAACCAAGAAGGCCACTGCTGCAGCAACAAAGAAGAAGACACCAGCAAAGAAGGCTGCTGCTGCTACTGCTGTGAAGAAGACAACAACAACTAAGAAGAAGGCCCCAGCAAAGAAAACTGCTGCAGCAACTAAAAAGAAGGCCCCAGCAAAGAAAACTGCTGCCGCTGCTACAAAGAAGACCGCAGCAGCAACTAAGAAAAAGGCCCCAGCCAAGAAAACTGCTGCCGCTGCTACAAAGAAGACCGCCGCAGCAACTAAAAAGAAGACCCCAGCCAAGAAGGCTGCTCCTGCAAAGAAGACTACTGCGGCAACAAAGAAGAAGACACCAGCAAAGAAAGCTCCAGTCAAGAAAGCCGCCACAAAGAAGGCAGCAACCAAGAAATCATCACGAACAAAGTAGTAGTAGAGCTTCTACATGAATTCTTGTTTCCAGGAAATTTGACATATATGACTCTCTTACATTCAAATTACATTTGTAGTTCCTCTATCTAGTAATGACTCCTTCTTGTGATATACCTCATTTTTTTGGTTCCAACTGCACATTGGGATTTGTCAGCAAATCCGATTCATCTACTGGTATCCGCAGGCCATCTCGCTCCACCACCTCGGGGAGGGGCACACTATTCACTTGAGAGGCAATCATACCCACCGTATGCAACGGTGGAGCATCTACAAACGTGTGATGGCTCTGCAACTTCATGGCTATCGCCACATCATCAGTCCCTATTGTATTGGTCTCTGCATGCATTTCTTTCGAAATCTCCTGCACCCATCATCCATTCATTATTGACATGGTTCCACCATGTCAAAGAAATCAACGCACCTGTGCATCCTGTAGCACATTCGACGTGTATCCATACATGAAGCTCACGAGTTGGTCTACTACT